TAAGATGTGTCGTCCATTCTAAGAAGTTATACATAATAACCACAAGAAGCATTAGTCAATTCCAGGGACAGCCCTTCGCCAAAATTGCATCAAATTACTTTTCTAAATATCCTAATGGTGGCCAATCATCAAGACAATTAGATAGGTTAAACCGATGATTAATAATTCAAAACTTGCATGCATAATATCATAAGTAAATTAAAAAGAAACTACATACTCTTATTAAGGCTCGTGGCCTCGCCCTAGCAAACGAAACTAGTTACTAACAATCATAAAAAAAAATATTATTAAGAACATGGATAGAAAACACCTTGAAAATAAACTTGAATCATCAAAAGCTCCGAAGTAGTGCGTCCCTAAATTTTATGCGTTCTCCCCTCCTTTTTAACACAAATTGCTAAAAGGCCTTATTTATACTAGGCCTGGCAATTCCTGACACGACCCAATAACCCGACACGACATGACACGAAATTAACAGGTGTTCGGGTCGACACGATAGCGAATCGGGTCGTTATCGGGTAACCCAATAAGCACATGTTAAGATAACGAGTTGGTTCAGGTATACATGTAGGTAACACGATACACGATAAGCAAAATATTAATTTTATAATTTTATAACCATAAAAAAATACTATAATAATTATATATATATATATTAATTTAACAATTTTATACCCCTAAAAACTATAATAATTATACCCCCAACATATTAACTATAATAATTATATATATATATATATATATATATATATATATTAAATTTTAAATTAAATTTTATACCCCTAAAAACTATAATAGTTAATATGTATCCGCCCTTTGAAGAAAAAGGGAGGGAAAAAGTTTCCAAAAAAAAAAAAAGGGAGGGAAAATAGAAAATTATAAGAAAAGGAAATAAAAAAGAGAGGGAAAGATGGGTGTAGTGGTATTTTGCTTGCTACTAGTAGGGTGGGTTTTTCCACCGTGGTCTCTCAAGTGTTCACTTGTTAGGATAAGATTCGACAACTGTGTTCCTGACACGTGTACATCATTTACCTCTTTCTATCTCTCCTTTTTTTTCTTGAGAAATTTTTCATTGTAATGGGAACACAAATAGTACACCATGTGTTTTAATAGAAGCGGTGAGAAATTTTATTTTTTAAGTTATTAACTTTTTATCACACATATCCCACTATTTTTATAATGACACGTGATGTACTACTTCGTGTATCGGTCAATTATACGTACAAAATAAATAGATTTAAATCTACTTAATATATATATATATATATATATATATATATATATATATAGTTATATACCATTGAACTAGATGAGATATGAATTATATGAAACTAATTTCAATGATCTAACCGTCAAACTTGTTTGTATATGCTTCGAGATCTCATCAGCAAAAAAATTGCAAAAAAAAAAAAATTCAGAGATCAAGTAACGGGACAAAACTTTTCGACGGTTATAAATGAAAATAACAATTTAACGGTTATTTTAACTCTGATTTTTATGATTTTTTACAGCTACACTCCTTAACCTTATATGAATACAATGAATGAATTCGATCTTCAATTTAAAATATTTACACTAGTGGATACCACAAAATCTTATGTTATACTTAATGAAAGTACAAATAAACTCTAAGTGTTAGCGAATCTATCGTTTTTACGGGATACGCATCCTACGAAACTAATTTCAATGGTCCAAACCGTCAAACTTGTTTGTATATGCTTCGAGATCACATACGCCAAAAATCGCAAAAAACAAACATTCAGAGATCAAGTAATGGGACAATACTTTTCGACGGTTATAAATGAAAAATCACGATTTAACGGTTATTTTAACTCCGATTTTGATGATTTTTTACAGTTAGACTCCTTGACCTTATATGAATACAATGAATGAACTCAATCTTCCATTTAAAATATTTACACTAGTGGATACCACAAAATCTTATGTTATATGAAAAGTGTTAGTGAATTTATATATTAAATTAAATTTAAAAAATTGGTGACCATTGGATTGGCTGAGATTTAATCTCAACTGTCCATGGGGCATTAGGTTGGACTTTGGATCCTCTTCTCTTCTTAAACAGACTTCTCGAATCTCTGCCGCTCAGGTCTGAATCTCCCTCGCCTTCGCAAGTCGCAACCTTCCTCCTCATCCTCTTCCGTGTAGCGGCCCTCTCTGTGAACTTCAGCTATGCATCTCCGTTCAAGGTTCGATCTGTATTTTGTATTTTATAGTGCCTGATTGTGGTTATGTGTAGCAGTTGTAGCCTCTTGGTCTCACTCTGTGAACTTCACAACCTTCCTCCTCACCCTCTTTCAAGTATGAATTCCCTCATATTTATTCTATGTTAGGGGATATGCTGCAACAGCTTCCATTAATCCATTTAACTTAATTAAAATTAGCAATTTAACACCAACCCATTTCTTCTTCGTATCAAAAAACGACATGGGAATCATCATCGTACTATGAACTCACCTCCATCGCCATGGCTGACTCGCTTCTTAGCTCGGTTTTTCTGATGAGCTTCAAAAAAAAAAAAAAAAAAAAAACTGACACAAACACTGTTTATTATGGGGTGTAGGATTGTCGTTTTAATATTATACATGTGCATAACTCTTGTAGTCATTATTATAAAGATTAATACAATGACGCCTCAGATTTATTGTGGGGAATTTATATTGAATTGAACAAATATTACATGAATTTCTCTTATTGCAGCACATATGCATGAATCAAAGTAGTTAAATGATTACAATTCAGCATGGGGGATTAGGTAAATATTTCTCCATGATGATCGATGAAAATTGAGGATTTTGTAAAAGGAATAACATGCAAACTTTGAGTTCCATTGGCAAGGTTTAAACTTTTGAGAAAGGCTTCACAACATTGAAAACAAAAACTCTTTCATTTTGCATATCCTTGCACATTTAATATTTTGTAATAGACTAATAGTGTATGGATGTATTTTTTTAGGCTCTTATTTTCGAGTGTCGATGTAGTACTTAAACGACAAATGTATTTTAATGTTTTGAAGTAATATTTATGTGGCAATGTGGTATGTGCAAATTTAAGAAAAAAAATATTTTTCTTAACAGGTCATAACGGGTCATAACGGGTCGGGTCACTTTACCCATTGGGTAAAGTGACCCGACCTGTTAAGGACCCGTTAAGATAACAGGTGTGACATGACACAACCCGTTAAGATAATAGGTGTTATACGAACACGACAGACACGACCCGTTTGCCAAGCCTAATCTATACTACTACAAAATAAAATCCTTACTAGAAAATGTCTTCTAAAAACTAGGAAACATAATAGAATAATAAAACAGAAAATAAAAGGTTTCCTATTTAAATTGAAATTCGGACTTCTCAGAAAATCAAACTTTTGACTGACTAAATCAACTCCGATTTGGTCCCAAAATATCACTTTTGAAAACTGAAGACGTCCCCTACAAATCCTTATAAGGATTCTTCCTCAAAATATGCCACCTTGACCTTCAAAATACCTAAAACATCTAGAAACGTCAATCTGGGAAAGTTGCGCGCTGGGCCTTTATTTCTTCGCCGTGGTCAAACGGCTTCGTAGAAATATCTGGAATTTTGAAACAATTATCTTGAAACAGTCACAAACATCATCCAATTGGAATCACTCCAAAATTCATGCATTTGATCACTTTTTGCTCCAGAGGAAGTCGAATGTCCTACATTGAAAATACATAACAAAATAACTAATAAACTAATACTAAGAATAGGGTAAAATATATGATATAATATCGAGTCATCAAATACCCCCAAACTTAACTTTTGGCGTGTCCTAGAGCAAAACAAAACTCAAAAACAAAAATAACTGACAGACTATGAACTTAAATAGAACTTAACTAAGCCAAAATTTTCATTTGCAAGTTGCAATCCATAGAAAACATTAAAAATTAGAATATCTTTCCAAAAGTTCTAACTAAACCCACCACAAAGTCTAAGCCATTTAGAATCAATTAGAAAAGAATTCATGAACTTCCTTTGGTGTAAAGTGAACCAACATGGTTAAAGAAACTCGACTAAAACCCTTACCTCTCGTCCTTTTTATTACACACATACTAACTTTATATATGTTTTTTTTTTCTCTTTTCGATTTTTCTCTTTTTTTTCTTCTCTTCCTAGTAACAGTGTTGGTCGTGCAATGCCAGTTCCCTTAAGCTTTCAATCCAACCCATGTAACGAGCTTTAGGTCAGTGACTCCCAAACCATAAAGGCTTTAGGGCACTAGGTGTAGAACACCCCTAAGTACTAACTAACTCAAGCTGAAAAGGCTACATAACCAACTAACCACCATGCCCCATGCCAAAACTCTAACGTTTGATGCGAGAATCACTGCTGATTAGGCATGACTGATCCGGTTACTAAGTAAAGCCTTGGGTGGAACAATTGTTATTTTATTTGTAACACATACTAAACTTTACTTTATTTAGAACATAAAAAATTAAAAATTAGCCAGGCGAAAAGCAAGTGTTTCAATCTCACTCCCCACAAACCATGTTGGTGTGAATGTGCAAATTTTCAAAATATAACTCATGAATTAGTGTCTAAGCAATGATAAATAGAAAATACTCTATTATGGAATTAACCTTCATGATGTCCATTTGTTCTAACGTTTAATATAAACTATGGATATTAACTTCAAAAGAATGAAAATTTTTATTTGACTCACAAATTAAAATTCTAAAATTTCTTATTTCCCACCTCCAAATTTAAATCACGCATTGTCCTCAAGGTGTGGAAAAATAAACAAAAAACGTGAAAATAAACTCATAAAAAAACTAACAACTAGCTATTAAATAAAAACTGAAATTAAGAAGATAATATAAAGACAGCAGATACAAGTCTTAATAAAACAGAACTTAAAAGGAAAGATGGTACCTTGGTTGGACATGGTGTACTGATGCATGGAAATCATGGAGCCCATGTGCTTAACAATTTGAGGTAATGCAGTCGGCTATGAATGAGCTCAATCCAGCGAAAGATGGATTAACCCAACGGGCTTTGGCTGCAAGTGCACACGTGCACCATAAAAAACCTAGAGCACACTTGGTTATCATTCCCATTTCTTATTTTAAGCTTCGAAACCCTCAGCCCTTATGTAAAAAAAAATATAGAGTCGCTGGTCTTATGTCTCTCCTTTCATCTGTAACCAAAAGCCAAAACCATCTCCACCTAGCTCTCTAGTCATTCAAAATCTTCCAATGGTCCTGGATTTGTCAAACCCAAAGCAAATACCCAGCCGTGCCTCCATAGCTGGATATCTGTCGTTTCTTCCTAAATCTCCATGTCTTTGCAAATCGAAGCTCCACTCCGTCAAGTCAATTTCCCAGTGCACACCAAGGTAAATACCTCCCTTTTTCTTACGGATTTCATGACCAAAAGTCATATAAACTCCATTCTGATCTTGATGCATGGGCTCATTGATATGACAAAATTCTCTGATCTGATATTTGTGTATGCTGTGCTTGAAAGTTCAACCCAGAAGTGATGCAGAGGCCCAAAAATTCATAGATCCTCACGCCCTCGAAGGTAAAGTTCATCACTGCAATTATTTGAGCCTGAACTTGCCAGATCTATAAATGTGCTGCTTGTGCATGCCTAAAATATGACTTGGGATATGTCGCATAAATCTGTGTAAAGTAGTGCTTTCTGATTTTAGTCCATTCATGTATCAATGGTTTTAGTCTACTATCTGCAAGCTCATGAATGTGTTATGTATTTTGCATGTCTTCGTTGATGAACGCATGAGCCCAAAAATCTGTGCATTAGATCAATCCGCGTATTGGTTTGATGAATGTGCTCCCTTCTGTGTTGCTTGGATCCCACCCCCAAACTTGTATGTAGTGATCTTTTAAATAAAATGCAAGGGAGTGATTGAGTGAGAGGGGGTGCCAAGCAATGCAAGGGGCTTCATCACCAACCCCACTGTGAGTATGTCCGGAACTCTGCCCGTGCATCTTTCTGCATTCCTTTGGTTTCTGTAATGCTGGATCTCATTAATGTTGATGAATTTACGATGAATTCTCTGAGTGAATGTATGTTGAATGCTGCTGAATGCATGATTCAGTCGAATGTGTGGATTTATTGGATATTTTGGGCTGAATTGTTTCCAAATGCAACTTGCAATGATCACACAATAAAAATCTAATTAGAATAAACCCAAAATAAAACACTGATTAACTAAAAATATGGCTGTTTTTGTGTTTTTCATTTTTCATTTTTTTTGTTGTGATTTTTGTTATTGAAATAAAAGCAAGAAAATTAAATTGAACAAAATTAAAAAGAAAAGAGTTAAGAAAAAATTGGGTTGCCTCCCAATTAGCGTTTTAGTTAATGTCTATAGCTAGACGGAGTGGAAGGTTGGTGATCATGTCACCTGTTCTTGTAGAGTCAACCAATCTTTAATAGCATCATCAAACACTATTAGGTAATGAGTGACTTGATGTTTATTGGCCGAGTATTTAAATGTTGTGGTTGAGTCCTTAATGTCTGCTCTGCTATGTGAATGAATTCTTGTAACCAAAGAGAGTCCCTTCAAGCGAGGGTTGTGTCTCTGTTGAACTGACTTAAACCTTGTATTTAGCACCCACAATTTTTGCACTGGCTGAGTTTCTTGACGAAGAATAGGGTTGGAATTAATTTTTTTCTTTTCATTCCCACATAGAACTTATCCTGTTGGTAGGACTCATCTTCAATTTCTTTGAGTTTGATTTGCTATGCAGGTGTACTGTCTGTTATAGCAATAAAATTATTTTATCTTTAGCTATTTGCCCTGTATCGAAATCTGGTAGATTTGTCAAGTGCTGGTCATGTGTTGGATCAGATTTTGAATTTGTATGAATAACCCCTTCGAACATGTCAGTTTCAATGCCTTCATGCAACTTTGTTGGTTGCATTGTAGCCTCGGGATATTGTATGTGTGGCGTATAGGTCTGGGTAGGAATGGGTTATGGGGATATGTTAGGATCAGCATGATCTATTTCCTCTGTTGTGCATTAGTCAAACATTGATGGCTCTTCAATCTCAATATATCATGTTATTAGAGCTCTCCACACATTCTAATGTACTAATAGCCCAACCGTCCTTTGAACTTTGTGGCACATTGGGCTGCTCAAAAGGCTGTTGAGTACTTGCCCATTCAAAACTAGGGAGCTTTAACGAAAAGGGCTTGGGTTAAGTTTTATTTAATGAAAAATCACCCTAAACTATTATTTAATAAAAAGGGCTTAAATTTTAATCATAAGGACATAAAACTTTTATCTCAGGATCTACAAAAACTAAGGCACACGGGCTCAACAAAAAGCCAAACCGCATAACAATTAATATTCCAAAATTGCCCCTAACGGAGCCTAAACCAGGCCCGTTAGCCAAAGTTGCAGTTACTAAAATTCATCATCCCTCCAACGCCATTAATGTTCACCAACCCCTTCACACCGTACCAAAAAATCGAAACCTCCATTGCTCAAAACGTCAAGATCTCAAAGCATTTTCAAGTTCGATTCAAGTTTTTAAACAATAATCTACACATCAAATCCGGAATTTCTCAACCCAAAAACTCCATTTGAAGACGAAAAACTGAAAATTCGAACTGGATAGTTGCAGAGTCGAAATCGAACAAACACAAGTACGAACCTATAAAATTTTGTTATTCTTGATGATTTCTTACTTTAATTTACTAAATATGTACATTTGCATGTTTGAGATTCTAAAAAATGAATTATGTTTCCAGTTCAGAGTATTCTAATTCTAATTTGCATTTAGACGAAAACGCACAAAAAAAATTGGGAAATAAAAGCAACAAAGAAGAAACAAAGGTACGTACCACAAAATTTTTGATATTCTCGGTGATTTTACAGTAATATGTAAGTTTGCATGCTTCGAATTTGTTGAATGAGCAATGTTTCTGCAAAATGGTATATTTTTACTTCACTTTGATAACTGCTATAACCTTTAAATAGTATTTTCTTGCCCTCATATGTTGGTTGCTTTGCTTAAATAACTTAAATATAATCAACATTCCATTCCAATGGTTTTTAGTTTAATAAACAGTGTTTACGAAATAATTCACAATTTTAAGTTTAATAAAAAGTGTTTACGAAATAGTTTACAATTTGCTTCATTTGTAAATAGAATTGAAATGTACGGAAATAGTATAATCTGGGATGCATTCATGAACTAGTACAAAATATATTATGCTATTACACGAACTAGTGTGATTCTCTGTTAATAATTTGTACATTCAACAAACATTATAGTTTGATAAATAGTATAGTTTTTTGTCTCTGTTTGATAACCAGTATGGATCCAGAAGTAATGTGGTGTTTTAGTTTCGCAGCCTATTAGTAGCAACTTTTCTCCAGCTACAACAAAAAGGCTAAGATCCGGCAATTCCAGCCCGAAGATCTAGTCCTAAGAAAAGCTTTCGTCATTTTCCTAAGAGAAGGCTCCAAAAAGATGGACCCCATCTGGGACGGTCCATACAAGATCAGCAAAGTAGGCGGCAAAGGTAGCTACATCCTCACCACCATGAACGATAAAGAAATCGAAAAGCAGTGACACTCCTACAATATGAGGAAGTACGACGTGTGACCTCTCGCTACATCAAAGCCCGAAGACTCGAGCAGCTAAATGGGCACCACCCCGCTAGCCGAGAACTATTTCGTTCACTTCACTTGTTTTTCAATGAGGAATTCACAAGTAAGTAATTTACAACTTGGCTCGACTACATGTTTACAATAACTGATCACTCCTGCATTTCAAAAGAATACTGCGCTCTTCCCTGGAGACCAACCATGCTCTTCAATGCGAGTGGATAAGCCAATTCACTGACATCCGCAAGGGTCTGTTCTCCAATGAGAGAGGATAAACTGTACACTGTGAATATCCAGGCTGCCCTGGTATAACTAGGTGCACGATGGCTTGCGCCAAGATTCCTAGAAGTAACCATAATGGTCTTTTTCAAGCCTTAGCTAACTGAAGGATTTTGGGTTTCTTGGCTTAATCCGTAAGGAACCGGGCCTCAGAGACGGATGAGGCACATTACCCCTATGGACGGCTACCTTGGAACCTTAAAGCTGCTACCGATTACACTAAGGTAGCTTACGGTTTTCAAAAAACTACCTACGACTTACCCGCCGGGCAGGGGGCCTCGTTAAACTTATACAACTGCACGTTTTGTGAAAGGTTAAACAAGTTAGCGTGCACATACGAAGCTTTATTTGCTGCTGACATGCTATGCAGCCAATAAGCTTCACCTCTGTCAAAGCGCAGAATGATCGCATACGATCTACTTGCTACGCAACCCACAAAATTGGTTACATAAAAGCAAGGAGTTCTCTAAAACCTTTGTTACAAAATTCCATACAACTGCATACTTTTGATATGAAAGGTTAGCAAATTTCATAACCCAAAAATCTTTAGTACTTTGTGATGTAGGCCACATAGCTCAAAGGATTGAAGAAAGTTAATGTTAACAGCCAGGTGGTCACGCGGACTCGTCTGCTTCTGTAAGTAAGGCATCCGACTGCCGACCCTATGGCTAAGTTGCAAAGTTCTACACCAACACCCACGGTTGCATAAGTTACGCGGGCCTGTCTACTTATAAAAAAAAGTAGCACGCCTGCCACTAGTCTAAAAGTCAAAGGTTGGGTGTGAACAAAAAAAGCAAAGATGAAGCAAAACGAAGGAAGCAAATTTATTAAATTTTCTAGCAAAATTGATAAACAACTAGCAAAGGCTAAAGGAGTTTAAGCAAAGCAAAAAGCATCAAGGAAAACAAAGAAATCTTAAAGGCTACCTAGAATACTACTCTTCAGCAGCTTGAACATCCCACGGCTACTTGGTTGTCACACCTTCAGCTGCCGCGATGCTCTTAGCAATAGCATCATCCAACGCTTCACCCCCGGCTGCTCTAACCTGGGCACCAACTTCTTTGACTACTTCACCAAGGGAAGCCTCAAAAGTAAAGACAAGCAAGTCTTCCTAACAAATAAAAAAGGTCTTGAAGTCTTTCCCAGCAAATTCAAAGTTAGACGGCCTCCCAAAAAGATGATCTACATGACCCAGCTTGTAGAAATCAGCCTGACTCTGAACAAGTGAAATCTCGAGCCTAGCTTCTCACCTTTCAGCTGCTTGTTTTCTTTGATCAAACCAACACGGACGCGCTGCAGCTCATCCACTTCCTTCTTCATATTTTTGTTGATCTATAGTGCACCTTAGAGCTCCAACACTTGGGGTTCAAGCCTATCAATGACCTTCTTGAAGTGGATCACTTAATTATAAGCAGCAATCAACTCTTCATCCTTCGCAAAAGCAGCAGAACGAAGCTTAGAGACGACACGTTCAAGGTCGTAAATCTGAGGTATGTAACATCCAATCTCCTTCTCTATACTTTCATACTTAACTTGGATCGCGTTAAGCCTAGTCTTAAAGTCAATGATCTTTTGACGAATGATCTCAAGTTGCAGAGAACTAGGGGTAAAGATGTTAGACCCCTTCAAAGCAATGAGCTCAAACTCCAACCTTTTGACTTTCTGGGCCAAAGAGTAAGCTTCAGCTGCCATAGTCTTTGCCACCTCCTTGGTAGCCTTGGTATCCTCTTGGTCAAGAAACATAGACTCGGCTGCCAGAATCGTCGTTTTCTGCATCATAGTGAGCACATCAGTCCTCCTATACTAGTTCGTATGCTTCACAAAGGAACTTAGGCAGACAACCCATTCAACGCCATCAACAAGTTTGGCACACGCGTTCATGTCTTCAAGCAGATCTGGTTTCAATAGCGCATAAATCTCAGTAGCCTTCTCGGAAACAGGCTTAATGGAAATCTAACAACTGTCCACAGACACCTTTATGGATTGAACTTAGAACCTTTAGTTCGTCGGGAGGTGCTAGGTAGCGGAGATGTGGTCCAGTGTAGGATCTTCGGACGAAAATGTCGTTCCATATGTAATAGTGTGCTGCCTATGTTTAGAGCTTTCTAGACTCTAATCTTTCTATGGGGACTGTGTCATTGACCAGGTAGTCTATAATGGAATCTTACCAGTTTAGAGTTGTACTAACCTGTGACACCTTGATTGCTGGCTTTGCCTCTATGCTTGGCTTGTCTAGATACTCCACCGAAATAGAGCATTTGAGTTGGTGGTTAAGGGCGAAGCCTAGGCCGGCTAGTGCGCGAGCATTGTCTGCCCGTGAAACTTGAGTGGGGATGTAAGTCCGAAATGCCTCAAGTTGCTTTCGTACCTTCTCTAGGTATTACATCATCCTCGGATGTTTTACCGTGTACTCCCCAGTAGTCTGGCTAGTGATTAGCTGGGAGTCAGAATGAATTGCGAGCTTTTTCATTGCCAAGTCTTTTGCCATTTAGAAGCCTACTAGTAGGGCCTCATACTCTGCTTCGTTGTTGGATGCTTTGAAGCTTAGAGTGATCGCCTGCTCGAGCATTGAGCCTTCTGGGGTGACAAAGACCAAGCCTGCTCTCGAGCCTTTGTAGTTGGATACGGCATCGACATGCAAATGCTAGAAGTCTCCATCGGGTGGAGCAGGCGCGCATAGCCTGCTGTCTCTGAGGAGTCGTTGGGCCACTCTGTTATGTTGCCTAGGCTAGGCGTGAATTCTGATATGAAGTTCGCCAATGTTTAGGCCTTTATAGCCGTGCGGGCTCGAAAAACTAAATTGTGTTGGCCAAGTTTCAACGCCCATTTCATCACTCGTTGAGAAGCATCTAGACCATGTAAGATTGAATATAGAGGATATTGAGTCATGACGATGATTGTATGAGATTAAAAATATGGTCTGAGCTTCCGAGCCGCAGCAACTAGCGCCAAAATTAATTTCTCGATCTTTGGATATCTAGTTTCCTCATTGAGAAGAGCTTTAGAAATGTAGAATACCGGTAATTAGGCCCCTAACTTTTCTCGTATGAGAGCAGAGCTCATTGCTACTTCCGAGACTGCCAAGTAGATGTATAAATCCTCTACAGCTTCCGGCTTGGATAGTAAGTGAGGTGATGTAAGATACTTCTTCAGGTCTTGGAAAACTCTTTCACACTCGTCATCCCATTTGTCTCGTTGTGCCCTCTTGATCACGTTGAAAAAAAACTTGCATCAATCAGTGGACCGTGAGAGAAAACGGTTGAGGGTAGCTTCTCGTTCGATCAAGCTTTGGATCTCCTTCAAGGTAGTTGGAGATTTCATCTCTAAGATTGCTCGGATTTGCTTGGGATGTGCTTCGATTCCTTGTTTGGTTACTTGGTACTCTAAGAATCTACCTGAAGATACTCCAAATGTGCATTTGGCAGGATTAAGCTTTATCTTGTACTTTCTAAGGATATCGAAAGTTTCCGCCAAGTAGCCAATGTGGTTTGATCGATGCTTGGCTTTCACCATAATGTTGTCGATGTAGACCTCCATGGTTACTCTGATTTGCTTCTTGAACATCATGTTTACCAATCGTTGGTAAATGGCTCCCACATTCTTGAGGCTAAAGGGCATGACCTTGTAGTAGTATGTGCCTCGCTCGATCACGAATGCAGTTTTCTCCTTGTCGAGCTCATACATGGCTATTTGGTTGTAGCCGGAGTATGCGTCCAAGAAACTGAGCAGCTGGTTTCCAGAAGTTGAATCTACTAATAGATCGATTCAGGGAATTGGATAAAGATCTTGTGGGCATGCTTTGTTGAGGTTGGTGTAGTCTACCCAAACCCTCTATTTGTCATTCTCTTTCTTCATCACTAGCACGACGTTAGCAAGCCATACAGAGTGTACTACATCTTCTATAAATCTAGCCTTCAATTGCTTGTCAATTTTCGCTTCAATGATCCTCACTCGCTCAGGTGCGAAATGTCTTCTCTTTTAGATCACTGATTTAGTAGCAGGGTCGACATGCAACTTGTGGCAAGTTATCTTGGGGTCGATGCCGGGTATGTCAAAAAGTGACCATGCGAAAACGTCACAACCATAAGGAAAGACGTGAGTTCCTCCTTGTCTTTTGGGCTAAGGTGTGAGCCGATTCTAGCAGTCTTCTCCGGCTACTGAGGATCAAGAATAATGTGCTCAGCGTCCTTTTCAGGTTTCCATCATGTTTCGTTTGCTGTCGTGTTGATTTGGACATCATCTTCTTGATCTGTCTGCTGTAATTGCTATTTGGCAGCTTCTTCGTCCCTTTAGACCTCAGTAGTCTTTACGGGGGGTAAAGGTTTTCTTCTTTGATTCCTTTAATACTTGCACAGTGCATAGTCGAGATGTGGCCTAGTCAAACTTGATTTCTCCAACTTCTCTTTCAGGGGATGCAGAATCAGATTTCTTGATACTTGACAGAGGATATGACGTCCATCTTTATCAGCCAAGGTTACCCTAGAATCCCATTGTAGGGAGACGGGTCGTTTACTATCGTGAATGTTTATTTTGAGACAACTGGTGGTGTTCTCACGTCAAGTGTGATGTTGTCAATGGCAGTCGAGGTGTGTCCGTTGAATCCGGTGAATACCTCTATTTCACGTACTATTATGCTTTCCAAGCACATCTTCTGAATTACTGAGAGTTGAAGTAGGTTAACCGCACTTCCATTGTCAACCATCATTCTGTCGACTATGGCATTGACTAATTTAACAGATACCACTAGTGCGTCGTTGTGTGGGAAATCGACGCCTTCAACATCCTGCTCGGTGAAGCCAACGATGGGTCCAGGTTGAGTGTTAACTGCCTGGACTTGTGAGATTAATTGGGTCAGCTGGATATTCATTTTCTTAAAATTGTTGGTGGCCCCCAAGTGTTTGAATTCGACAAAGATACCATTAATCCTAATCGTCTTAATCGGTGGCTCTTTGTAGACATCTACGTTCCTCCTAGGCTGTGCAACTAGCTTGTCCAAGTATCTATCAACCTTGCCTTCTTTCACGAGCTCTTCTAGGTAGTTCTTCCAAGTGTAACAGCCGTCAGTCGTGTGACCAGAACCTCGATGGAATGCGCAGTACTTAGTATGGTCCAACTTGGAAATATGTCCATTTGATTGTTTCGACAGCTTGAAGAATGGTTCGTTCTTGATGTTGCAAAGGATTTGGTGGTAGTTCTTGGACGTTAGGCCTTCTTTGGTCGTAGGTTGATCCCTATGTTTGGCCTCCTGCCTGTTTTTGTTGTACTGCTTCCCGTCTTCCTTCTTTTGAGCCACTACGAAAGAGTTTGCCAAAGTTAGATCTTCTTTCATGATCAATTCTCCAAACAGCGGGTGGTCTGCTGGGAGTCATTTTTGGAAGGCTGCACTTGCTATCGAGTCATCGCATTCTATCTTTGCCTTCTCTACTTTGAACCTCTTTACATAGTCACGGAGCGACTCATTTGGATTTTTCTTCACATTAAACAAATGGTCGAACTTCTTTTTGATCGAGCGATAGGATGAATATCCTTGGTGAAAACCAAAGAAAGATCATCGAAACTCTGGATGGATCGTGGCGGGAAGGTGTCTTGCCTTGCAAAGTGGTGGCGAATATCTTGCACATAAGAGCGTCGTTGTTCCAATAAAGGACCATTGTGCTCCGGTAGTGCTTTAAGTGTCTCTCCGGATCTGCATTTCCTTTGAAGGATGTGAAATGTGGCATGCTGAACTTGTGTGGAGGCTCTGCCTGCTCGATCTCATCCGTGAAAGGTGACCTAATCATGTTGGTCATGTCCCGTCGTAACGCCTTATCAGTGAACTCATTGCGTTGGAAATCATATAACCGCTCAGTCAATAACCTCTCTACTTCTTCCTAAATTTGTCTTTGTTAAGGTAACGAAGCTCTTGGCTGCCCTCGATCTTAACCTGTTGGTCTAGTGTGAAATCTCGTCCTCGAAATTTCACTATTCATTACATATCTCGTTATTACAAACGATTGAGTACAGGCATAGTAAAAATTGGAACTTGGAACAAGAAAGATTTTACAAAACAAGTATCAATCATTTTATTCAAAGTAGAGGGAAAAGAAAATATCACTAGATATAAAATATTAATGATAGAATAAAATAATAATAAAATAAGAAAGAGAGGAAGGGCGGAGAACCATCGAGAAAAAGAAAGGGAAACGGGAGAAAGGGGGATTTTGGGCTTGGGAAAATGAGAGGGAGAGGCCATTTTCCTCTTCCTCTTTTACCCACTTCACCCCTTGCAAACTATTTTCAACTTAACTTCCTTATACGATAATGAAATCACATGAGGCTGGAAGCTATACTTTCGTAGCAAAGCCGTCTTCAATCTGATACCATACCCACACTTTGAAAACTGGTGCACAAAGAAAAGAAGGTCCAAACATATTGACGTTTTCCGGCGACTCTCCCCCGATTTCAGCCAACCCCGTTGGAACCTGGCCTCGACCCAAGTGAAAGTAATGATTCTTTCACCGTGGGCTCTCCTCTAGCGTAAGTTCTTTTTCCAAGGTGTTAACTTTCAGTTTTGGGATTAGTTATTGATTTTGAATTTTAATTTGGTATTCTGCATGAATATTTAAGATAATACTCATTGTATTGTTTAGGAGTTGAATCGGAACTGGGCAAGAAGGATTAGTTGCATATTTAGGGAAGAACCTTGAAATCCTAACCTCAATTTGGTTCTCTTTAGAAATGTAAGAGTTGGGTTTGTTTTATAAGTATCAATGTTATTCCCTAATCGAGGCCAGATACATTTGAATATTTTGTATGCCACATTTGTCCTACACTTGAAGAACATTGCTGAATTTGAATGTGTTGTAGCCTAAGTTTGTGTAGATAATTAGAGTTCTAAAACTTCTAAGTGGCTCTATATTTTTCCATGGCATTGTTAGATGCTGATGTTAAATACTTGATTGGACAATGCAATTTTCAGAGTAGTATATGACTCTTAGTTTTGGTCATTGAATTATTGGTGGTTATTTATTTCATCCTTTCAGCGGATGAAGAGCTTAAGACTGCTAGGAATTTATATTTTATTTTGAGGCACCTGGATAAACAGTTTGGTTTTCTCTGTTAATTATTAAGAATCATTGATATGGTTTGGTTAACTCCGCCTATGTCTTACATGGCCGGTCCCAAGCCCGGATAAAGGAGGAGGGGGAGGGCGTCAGGTAGTCGACAGCCGGCACTCCATGATCACGTCGAATCCTTATGAAAATGAATCCAGAACAAAATCGCGCTAAAGCTAGGGCGTCACCCGTAAGTGGCGCGCTGTGTGGCCTGAGCACAGTGATAAGTGAGCAAGGGTCGCTGTATCTCCATCGGCACCCGGATGCAGTGTTAAATGAGCAAGGGGGCCATAGAAACTTCTTTTCGAACGACTCCACTCAAAGTTGTTTGGGAGCATATGCTCATATCAACTTTACCCGGGACACACAAAAGAAGTACTTTGATCCTATTAGACGGGGGAGGGTGAAGAAGCTAGGACAGAAGGGTAGAGTTCAAGAGAGCAAAATGCGTTTAGGAACGTGGAATATAGGAACCTTAACGGGAAAATCTATGGAAGTAGTGGAAGTTATGGTGAGGAGAAGGATAAATATTATGTGCCTACAAGAAACTAAGTGGGTTGGTAGTAAGGCAAAGGATCTAGAAAACTCAGGGTTTAAACTTTGGTATTTGGGCACAAATAGAACGAGAAACGGTGTTGGCATCATCGTGGACAAGACCTTGGTACAAGATGTTGTAGATGTCAAGAGGGTAGGAGATAGAATCATGGCAATCAAGATTGTAATAGGACAAGAACTTATCAATGTGATTAGTGCGTACGCACCTCAAGTAGGGTTGGATACGAGTTCGAAGGAGAAATTTTGGGAAGATCTTGGAGACTTGGTGCAAGGAATTGCTCAGACGGAGAAGTTATTTATAGGAGGAGATTTAAATGGACACGTGGGTAGGGAGACAGGCAACTATGGAGGTTTTCATGGTGGCCATGGTTTTGGGGAGAGAAACGAGGATGGGGAAGCTATCTTGGATTTTGCAATGGCATATGATCTCTTCTTAGCCAACACCTTCTTTAAGAAGAGAGAAGAACATGTGATCACCTACAAGAGTGGGTCGTCAAAAACACAAATAGATTTTCTTCTAATGAGGAAAGGGGATCGTATAACTTGTAAGGATTGCAAAGTTATACCAGGAGAGAGCGTGGCTAATCAACATCGCTTGTTGGTGATGGATGTACATATCAAAAGAGTAAGACAAAAGAACAAGACTTGGAAGTGCCCAAGGACTAGATGGTGGAATCTAAAAGAAGAAAAACAAGCCATTTTCAAAGAGAAGGTAATCACCCAATGTGTGTGGGATAGAGAGGGGGAAGCTAGCCAAATGTGGGATTCCATGGCTAGTTGTATCCGAAAAGTAGCAAAAGAGGTATTAGGAGAGTCCAAGGGCTTTGCCCCACACCAAAAGGAATCTTGGTGGTGGAATGAGGAGGTACAAACAAAGGTGAAGGCTAAGAAGGAATGTTGTAAAGCCTTATACAAGGAGAGGACTGATGAAAATGGTGAAAGGTATAGAAAAGCGAAGCAAGAGGCGAAGAAGAAAGCTGTCAGAGAAGCTAAGTTAGCGGCTTACGACGATATGTATAAACGACTAGATACCAAAGAAGGAGAGTTGGATATCTATAAAACTATCTAGAGCAAGGGAAAAGAAGACAAGGGACCTAAACCAAGTGAGGTGCATCAAGGATGAGGATGGAAAGGTTCTTGCTACAGAGAACGCGGTTAAAGACAGATGGAGAGGTTATTTTCATAATCTTTTCAATGAAGGACATGAAATGAGTGCTTCTTTAGGGGAGTTGAGTAACTCAGAAGAGTGTAGAAACTACTCTTTTTATCGTCGAATCCGGAAGGAAGAAGTGGTTGTAGCTTTGAAGAAGATGAAGCACAAAAAAGCAATAGGCCCAGACGATATACCAATCGAAGTGTGGAAACTTTTGGGAGAGACAGGTATATAACATGGCTCACTGACCTTTTCAATAGGATTTTGAAAACGAAGAAGATGCCAAATGAGTGGCGAATGAGCACTTTGGTGCCTATCTACAAGAATAAGGGCGACGTACAAAATTGCATGAACTATAGGGGTATTAAGCTAATGAGTCATACAATGAAGCTCTGGGAGAGAGTCATTGAGCATAGATTGAGGCAAGAGACACGGGTTTCGGACAACCAATTCGGGTTCATGCCAGGGCGCTCAACCATGGAGGCAATCTATCTCTTACGAAGATTGATGGAAAGATATAGAGATGGGAAAAAGGATTTACACATGGTCTTTATAGATTTGGAAAAAGCGTATGATAAGGTCCCAAGAGACATTCTTTGGAGGATTTTAGAGAAGAAAGGAGTACGAGTAGCATATATCCAAGCTATAAAGGATATGTATGAAGGAGCAAAGGCTGCCGTAAGAACTCATGAAGGACAAACCGAAAGCTTTCCCATAACTGTAGGATTACATCAAGGCTCATCCTTAAGTCCTTACCTTTTTGCGTTGGTAATGGATGAGTTAACACGACATATTCAAGATGATATTCCTTGGTGTATGCTTTTCGCAGACGATATAGTGTTGATAGATGAAACTCAGGAAGGGGTAAATGCAAAGCTTAACCTTTGGAGAGAAGTGTTGGAATCTAAAGGTCTTCGCCTAAGCCGATCAAAGACAGAATATATGGAGTGCAAGTTCAGTGCAAATGGAGGCCAAAACGAGTTAGGGGTGAGGATCGGAGATCAAGAAATACCAAAGAGCGACCGTTTTCGTTACCTAGGATCTATCTTGCAAAAGAACGGAGAATTAGATGGAGATCTCAACCATAGAATACAAGCTGGATGGATGAAGTGGAAGAGTGCATCCGGCGTGTTGTGTGACCGCCGTATGCCACTGAAGCTCAAGGGAAAAATTTTATAGGACGGCAATAAGGCCGGCGATGCTGTATGGCACAGAATGTTGGGCGGTGAAACATCAACACGTACACAAAATGGGTGTAGCGGAGATGAGGATGCTTCGTTGGATGTGTGTGGGCACACGAGAAAGGATAAGATTAGGAATGAGGATATCCGGGGTAAAGTAGGAGTAGCCGAAATTGAAGGAAAGATGAGAGAAAATCGGTTACGGTGGTTTGGACATGTGCAAAGAAGGCCTACTGACGTTCCGATTAGAAGATGCGACTATGGGACAGAGGTTCAGGGCCGAAGGGGTAGAGGAAGACCTAGGAAAACTTTGGAAGAGACTCTAAGAAAAGACTTAGAGTACTTGGATCTAACGAAGGACATGACACACAGGATCGAGCACAATGGACGTTCTAAGATTCATATAGCCGATCCCACTCAGTGACTTGGATTTTCCAAGTCTCCAACCGAGAAGTTTTCCTCACTCGGGAAATTAAGGGAACACTACCCCAACCTACATGCTCCACTCAGAAAGCTTCAACATACAAGCTTTAACAAAAGAAAATTCAAAGAACTTAGCGAAGAAGGCTTTGGTGTATTTAACACAATACGTTGAAATGAAGGAAAGCTTATTTATTGATATCCTCGATAAGCTACAAATATGTACATATACATGAGTCAAAATAAAGCAACACAAGAGGGAGCCTTCACAAAGGTTGCTTAGGAGAAGTCTCAGCAGTCGGTAGAGCCCCAGAAAGAGAAGGCACCGGAGGGGGATCATTTGGAGCCTCAGTACTGGACAGAACCCTAGAAGGAGGAGGCATCAGAGGTTGATCATTTGGAGCTTCATTACGCGGTACAGCCCCAGAAGACGAAGGCAATAAATGCCTTTGGAACAAACCCACAAATCTCTGATGATCAAGTAAAACCTGACCATCAGTTTCCTTCATCTGGTCAAGCTTCCTCTTCATGTTTGTAGCATAGTCATGTGCGAGCCGGTGCAACTGTTTATTCTCATGCTTGAGCCCTCTAATCTCCTGTTTGAGACTCATCACTTCAGCCGCCAATGATTCAACTTGGCGGGTTCGAGCAAATAGGCGTTGGGCCATATTAGACACAGAACCTGCACACTGAACACTGAGAGCCAGCGAATCCTTAACAGCTAACTCATCAGACCGTTTGGAAAGTAGTCTGTTATCTTTGGGAGTGAGAAGGTTCCTGGCCACCACCGCAGCGGTCATATCATTCTTCATCACGGAATCCCCAACGGTAAGAGGACCAGTAGGGGAGACGAAGGATGGGCGCCATATGTTGTCTGGAGAAGGCGGGGCTGCCTCTTCAACAAGGTTCAAGTCAAAACGACGGTCGGAGGGGCCAGACATTTTCAAAGGTGTTGAAGAGAGAAGAGGTCGGACAAATCAAGATCTTAGAAGTGCAAGAATGAAGCTTCTACTGGTGGAGATTCAAGTGTGCTTTGGAACTTAATGCCAGCCCCTATAAAAATCTGCACTCGACGAAGCTTCAGAAATCGAAGAGGCGCCTGCTCAGAAATCGAAGAGGCGTTTGCTTTCTCAAAAGCTGGGCTGCTTAGAGATCACGAGGGTTGATCTCAGAAATCGAAGAGGCGTTTGCTTTCTCAAAAGTTGGGCAGCTCAAAGACCACGAAGGCCGATCTCAAAAATCGAAGAGGCGCTCGCTTTCTCAAAAGCTGGGCTCCCCAGAGACCACGAGGGCCGATCTCAGAAATCGAAGAGGCACCTACTTTTCCAGCCTTTTCCAGCCTTGTCAGCACCTGTCACACGCACACTCAGTTTTGCGGAAATTATGGGCATTCTGTCAAAGACTTCTGGGGAAGTAGAAAACACATGAATCTTACTGTTCAATCACCC